TTTCCTGGGCTGCACTGCAGCCAGCAGAACAGAACTGGGTGGAAGGCTGGAAAAAAGCTGGAAAAGTGCATACTGGAAAGAAAGCTGATGGGGGAATTCTGCTGTTACTCCTTACCTCATGGCTAGGACCTTGTGCTAATGTGGGCAAGGGAGGAGGCATCACATACAGGGTGAAGATGAAGTCTAAGTTAGTACTCAGAAAGTTCTAACCTGAAAGTGGGATCAAATACAACTCGGCCGGGGCATCACTAAAAGGACAGGGAACTGCTGGACAGGGTACAGCAAGGGACTAGGAAGATGATTAGGGGACTAGAACATTTCTCTTATGAAGAAAGGCTGAGGATCTTGAGGCTTTTTAGTCTAGGAAAGAGAAGACTGGGGGGGGGATCTTATCAATGCTTATAAATACTTAAAGGGCAGGTGGGTGTCAGGAGGATGGGGCCAACCTTTTTTCAGTGGTGCCCAGTGATAGGACAAGAGGTAACATGCACAAACTTGAACATAGCAAGTTCCATTTAAACATGAGGAAATACGTCTTTACTTGGAGGGTGACAGCACTGGAATAGGCTGCCCAAAGAGGTGGGGGAGTCTCAGTCTCTGGAGCCACTAAAAACCTGCCTGGATGTGTTCCTGTGCAACCTGCTCTGCGTGATCCTGCTCTGGTGGAGGGTCGAACTAGATGATCTCCAGAGGTCCCTTCCAATCCCTCCCATTCAGCAATTCTGTGTGATTGCTGAACTTGGCACACTTGGATCTGCTAAGCTCCGGGCATGTGTAGGTCAAGACTGATGGTTAGCAGAGTGTGTAATGCTCAGCCATCCAGGGACGGCACTGCTGCTGAAGCACATGAGTTGCTGTTACCAGGTGGTGCAGTTAGCATGGCAGACTGCTCAGAATGATGAATTATGAGGAGATCTTAACTCTTGCCCTGGTTCTGCCACATTGTGTGACCTAATCTGTGTTCAACTACTGTCCTCATTCATTTCAGTGCAGTCATTCCTTTCTCGTCCTCCCTCCCAGCAAGATGGCCTGGAACACCAGGAACGGTGTTTTGCAAATGGATAGCATCCATACTATCATCAAACTTTCAAAGCAGCCAAGACAAGTGCTGTTTGGTACAAATACATCCCCTATGGGCACCTCTGCAGCCTGCTGTTGCCTCATGCTCAGCTGGAAACAGAGAAGAAAGGTGAGGGACAATGCAATGCAATCACTAGCTCTTTAAATGTAGATATAGATCTACGCCCCTGTATATGAAAAAGACTAGAAGAGAAATGGCTGTTTTCCAGGCAAGGATAATACAGAAAAAGCAGGATGCTTTGGGCCATGATATCCTGTGAACACTTCCCACCAGGCCTGTAAGTGAAACCTGTATATCGTAGGGATCTAACTACCACATCTGTGACACCATGGGTGTCCACCATGAAGAAGTGCGTGAGTCACAGGAACTCAGCAGGACACATCACTGCAGGCAGCTCCTTGGCTAGGCTTTTTAACAGAGCCTGAGAGCAGCACCAGCTGTGTCGGTGCTGGTGATCTCACCGCATGCTGAGGGGATGTGGACTTCGGCTAAGACAGACTGCATCACCCTCAACTGCTTGACAGGTCTAAACCTGCAGGTCTGCTGCTGGGAAAACTTCATGGGCTGCTCTGTGGGGGAAACATGGCTCTTACAATCACATAGTGGTGTCCTGGAAAAGGGCCAGCACAGTCCTGATTCTCAGGATTATACAGCATTCCTTGGAGGAAAGCTCACTACTCATTTGCAAAGCCCTTCTGCTGACTACACAAGGCTGACTGCTGCTAGTGCTAACACTGGTGTGCTGGTGCTTCCTCACACTGTCTGTCCATCGGGGGAGGGATTGCTTTATCTGTTGTGCTAGTTTTTCCAACAGCAACAAGGCAGTGAATTTATTTCAGAGTTCAGTTCAGACCAATGAAAAGCTTCAGAACCTGGTCTTGGCCCCATAATCATTCCTTTAAACCTGTTTTCCTCATTTCTGCTCCTTAAAATATGGACGCAGTAACAGGAACAGCTATTGCCTTGAAGTTCAGGGGTATAAGGTGGCCCTCACGAACTGTTAACCTTTGATACCATGGCAATTCTGCTAAACTGGCACTGTATAGATTAGCTAACGCTCTTGATGTTTAATGGGAAAGCAGAAAGACTTGTGATGTTCCCAGTGAGAAGAATTTCCTATTTTTAGAAATGCTGCTGGTTCTCATGGGATGGGCAGGCTGGGAAAGCCTGCCACATCTTTTGCATCTTTACTTTTCCCTCCTAATTTATGACAGAAAGCTGTTTTACTACCCACTCCCTTCCCTGACCTTGCAACACAGGTCAGTCTGAGGGTCCTAAAACCTACTACTAGTAAATAGCGGAGGTAAGAAGACCTCCTCTGTTCCCAGCAGTTAAGAAACTTCAAAGCGTCTCTTGGGAAGACTCCCTCATGTCTTGCATCATTTCCAAGTGAAATTTTGAACAGGAGGGGAAGGTACAGGAGGACAGGGGCATTCTGTTCTGTCAGCAGTTCTTAGTGCTGTCTTGTCTTCTGCCTAGAAACAACATTATTGCTCTATCTGCCTCCAAAACCAACTTGCTAATGAGGGCAGCCAGCTCATAAGCTTGGTGGCAAAGGCACCAGTCTCGCTACTTCTTCCTATTCCTTTTTCATGGGAGCCAGGAGGTGAGCACTCCCTTTCAAACACCAGTTTCCTTGAGATAAGCTCAAGCCAATGCCTGGCAGCAACCCTTCTGAAACATAAGCACCTCAGCACTCTTTCGACTCTTTCTGCTCCCTGGGCTGGATCCCCTGCAGGCAGAAATTGCTGGAGCTCTGCCAGCTTTAACAAAGCTGTGTTGATCTAAACCAGATGAGCATCTTGTCCTGTAGCTATTGAAAGGTCATCTGACACGGCCCACATGACCAGTTTCAGGCTGTCTTGGATATAAATGGCGATGTAGTGAGACTCTACCCACCCTGTACTTTTAGCTGTTGTGATTAGGCCAGTTGACAGCCAGGTTGTGGCAGCCCCCTCATCCTGCTGGAGATGTAGCAGAGTGAATTCCTGGGATAGTAGGATGAGCCTGAGATAGCTGTGCTCCATCTAGAGTTCTTACCTCCTGGCAAAGGGGTGGGGTGACTACACACTGTAGTCACAAACACTTAATTGCACCAAGGGCAGAAAAGCTGTCCAGGAAGAACTTGCCCCATGTGCTGAGACAGGTCTCCAGTCCTACAAACAAGTACAGTGTGCAAAAGCTGGCAGAATCGGGACTCCCCTTTAGCCCTCTCTGCTTATGAGCATTCCTCCAGCTGCTTCCAGATGTTTGTAGAGGCATTACTGGCTCAGGTCAAAGTGCACTAGTGAGTTTCTAGCAGTGCACAGCTGTGCATTGGCATGTTCTGGCACTGCTGGCATTTACTAGAGTAGCTGCAGGAACAGAACACCAAGGCCCACTGGGAGGCTGACAGAAATTTTGCAAAAGAAGGAGCAAGAAGTGCCAGTACATTTTGCAGGAGGTTATTTTTAATACTGGAAATAGCTAGAAAACAGGAAAAAAACTGCAGTATATGTCAGGATTTGAATTGGTGAGGAGATCTGGGAAAGGGACGATGGAAACTTGGGTCCATTATGATTCACACAGATTTATTTTTTTTTTCCTCTCTTTTGAACAAAAATATTTCCTCCTAAGAAAAATTTCTTCACAGTCATAGTTCCACAGGACAACTGGTTGCTTTCAGTGGCATTTTTTGACTTAAAAAGGTTTATACCATGTAATATAAACTTTTGTTTCTCTCCACTTTTAAACACTTCTGTGCTGAAGGGAGGAATGCTTGCACAGCATGTTTTTCAACCTGCTTGTGCACCTTACTACCTTTTGTGGACTGTCTGGAAGAATTTATGATCCCCTAGCAGTGCAGAAACCCGTGCTGGAAAACTCTTTATGTGAGTTTTCAACTCACTGTAGCTGTCCTTCACAGCTTTACTGTTGCTTCTTCAGTTAAGGCCCCTGTGGTGGGTGGATCTCAGTAAAACAAACAAGGCTCAGCTCTCTGCAAGGCCCCTGCTCCATTAAAAGAGAAAAGTAAATTTCCAAGAACAACTTCAATGCAAAGGAGCATTATAAAAGTGGTAAAGGCATGAGTCATCAGAAATCTTATGGGACAGAACACCAAAATATGGGAAAAGCCTTGGGACTTTAGGTAGCACCTGTACTGCTGAAACTTAATTGTGCATTATTAATAGGTAGTGTGAATGAGAACTGATATTCTCAAAACTGAATGCTGCAATTACTACTCTTGGTTTCCTTCCACTTAAATGCTGCATAGTTACCACTTTGTCTAAGGAACCTGCAAGAAACGTGAGCTATGCCACCAGTACCTTACAGAGTAAGAGAGTGACCACAGATGTTAAGTTTAAAGCATCAAGATGTTGCCTACTTCAGAAAGTCAGCCTGAGACATGCAGAACCGCACTGAAAGACTCTTGTTCTACTTGTCAGATCCATTTAGTGCCCCCAGGATTTCCAGATTCCCCTTCGAAGTGAGGAACCTGGGTGCAAAGAGCTCTCAAGCCCAATCCAGTCCTGTGCTAGGTTTAAGAAGCCTGGACAGTGCAAGAAACCTGCTAGGTCAACTGGAAAGAAACCAGGCTGACTGCCATGGGAGTCTTGCCTATGGCTCATCAGTAAGTCACTGGAAGCAAGTTTTTCTGCAAAGCAGAGAGATATTAACTGACTCTGATGGAAATCTGTTCCACTGAGAAATACTGGACCGTGACACAGGTACTACTGACCTTGTCAACAACTTGCCCTAAAGCATTTCAATTCTCTGTCGCACATTGCAAATCGAGTCCAAGGAGATACAGGTAAAATCATTCTGTATCTCTGAGAGGCTCCTACTAGTGTTTCTCTCTACAGCTTGTACAGCTTCAGGTGGAACTCATAGAGTCTCTCTCATTTTCGCTGTTCAGAAGAGAACCAGGCTTTGGACTTACCTCTGCTAATTCTCTGTTTTTCTCCAGAAAGGATTCCTGGTGTATCAATGACGCTGATGCTCTCTAAGACGGGATTAGGTAGCTGGGCACAAACAAACCTGTGTGAGAATAAACGTGTTTAAAATAAAAGCAAGAGGTATTTACGATATGCTGAACGTCACGGGCAGCATTGCAACAAGCCAGGCTTTGATCTCACAAGTTTCCAGTTGAAGGTTGGAGCTACTGCTGATTTAAGGAAATGAGAAAGAACCCAGAACTGAGCACTTTCTCTGACTATTTTGCTGCTTCAGGAGCATGAATCTTAGTCATGAGCTAAGACAGTGTTGTTTTTTTACGTGGCCCCCAAATGAAAATGTGGAAATGCAAATGTTTTCATTTGCTGTTTAGATTTTAGCAAGAAGTGGTATTTGTTTTTCTTCACTTAAGCATACCCCTGCAGAGTTCACTCAAGTGAACTGAAACAACTTGTTTAAAAAAAAAAAGAAGTAAAAATCAGCAATGTTATAGGATTTTTGTTCTCTTTCAAATTTGTTCTTAAATAGAAAAGTGTGCTATTCTTTCACCATGGAAATCCTAAGGCATAGGCAGTATGAGATCTCAAGAGGTTGCTTGGCCTATCCTCCTGCCTCAAGGCAGGATCAATCGAATGTTTTTCTGAAGTGTTCTTCAAATCCGTAATGATGTGGACTCAACACTCTATTACTTAATTATCCTTACAGCAAAACCTCTTTTTCTTAAAGTCTAATCTAAATCTTCCATGCTACAATGCCTTTCAGTCTCAAACACAGTAGACATGGAAAACGACTTATTTTTCCCCTCTTGTCACAATGTGTACTATTGTCATCTTGTCTCCCCTCAGTCTTTTCTCTAAAGAAAAGAGAAGATTCAGTTCTGGTGGTGTTTTTTTTTCTTTTTTTTTCTTCCCTGTCTCTTTCAGTTCTCTCTAGCTGTCTTTCCAGTTCATTTCTAAATCCCTGAAGACCCTTGCAGCTTTCCTTTGGGTCCTCTCAAACTGCTCCACATATTTCTTCAGGCATGATGCCCCAAGCTGATGCAGTGCTCCAGCTGTGACCTTGCCAGTGGTTAACAGAGCAGATGGATTGCTCCTTATCTTTTACATGACAGCCCTGTTTATGTATCTCAGTAAGATGTTTGCTTTTTTAACAGCAGTATGACACTGTTGACTTACATTCAATTTGTAATTTGCTCCTCCCCTCCTCTGCAGCTCCGTTTCTGTGAAACTGCTCTTTACTAGTTGTTCCCCATCTTGTATCTATGCAAATCACTGGTTAAAAAGAGTAACTTATGCTTGTTCTTAGTGGGTTGCAGCTCATCTACTTCAGTTGCTGGTAACAACAAAGGACAGTAAAAGCCTATCCACTTACACGGCTCCTGGTAGTATTTAATGGATAGCCTTTTTGTGATGGCGTTCCAGGGAGCTATAAATATGTGTGTGTATGTACATATAGCTATTAATAGGGTGGTGTGACATCCAGGCATAAGATATGTGTTACTGTGGGAGAAGGCAGAACCACGCAAAGGATGGGGTTTGCCACAAGGTCCCCTAGATGCAGCCAATGGAGAAAGAGCCCTGCAGCACTCAAGAGTGGCTAGTTCTGCTCCAGTCCCTGCAGCTATGATCTCCTTCAGGCTACAGCCCCACCCCAATTTTTCTATTTGTGTGACTCCAAGATGATTCTGACAAGAGTGAATCCTCATGAGTTAGATGAGTGGCCTCTCTCTCCCACATCCACAGCTTGGCAGGTGGCAACAGGGAGCATTTCTGAATGCGTATGCTTCACAGGGATTTTGGGGGGCTGGGCTGAATCTCCTGTGGAGTGCCAGGCACAGCAGTAGAGAACAAAAGGCTCAGGAGGTTATGTTATTCCCCCATCCTCCAGCCCAGGGTTGCTCTCCATTGTTACAGCTCTGAACATTCATTCTGGTCTAATATTAAAGCGCTCAGGTGAGGGGATTTTCCACCAGTTTCTCTAGGAAAAAGTACTCCAGAGGAGATCCCAGGTATAAGATCAGAGGCCAGTGTGAGTGAGTGCATTCTGGCTCTGTTGGCAAGGTTGTTAAGGCTGCTGCCTTCCTGCTGTCCCAGCAGAACTGCAGGACCTCAGGCAGCATGACCTAATTTTGTCTGGGGCCATATGAAGGGAAAAACATGGTGTCAAACTAGACTTTTACTACCTCTACAGGCAGAGCATGAGGGTGAAGGAGGAATCTGTTATCCATTATGTCTTCTGCTGTTGACAACAAAAAAGCAGGACTTGACTCCACCTTAGCTTCCCAAGACAGACTTTGGGGGTAGGAGGAATTTTGCAACCAAGCCAATGTGATATGAAAGCAAGGGTTGAGATTCCTGATCTTGCTCCAGGCCCTTGGTGCCAAACAAGTCCTTCTGATAACAAGGTGCAACCTGTAATCTCTCTGCTGGGATCCCTCCAGAGTTGGGGTACTGCCAGCAGAGTTCGAGTAAGGAAAACAAGCCCTCCTCTCAATATCCAGGAACCACCCGGGGCAAGGAGAGGTGGACAGGTTATTGCAGCGCTGCCATCCTCCCTTCAGTCCTGGGCACCTTGTCAACCCTATCTCTGCCCTTAGCCAGGAAGGTATGTGCAGGCACTCCCATCTCCTGGGAACGAAGGGAGGGAAGGAGACAGGCTCTGAGCAGTACAATTAGCTGCTGTCTCCCAGCCAAACCCTGACTGTACCACTCTTGCTTCCTGGAAGGCAGCAGATCCCAGTCTCTCCTGGGAAGGGAGTACCAGCTGAGGCTGGATGCTCACTCCTCCTGCTCCTCCACCTAGCTCCCCTGGAGCAGCAGGCTCTGCACCCCACAGGACAGTGCTGTGGGCTGCAACCTCTCAGCTGAGATCAGCATGGCCTGTGTGAATGCTACCGCCTTGTCCCTTCCACTGATGCTGATAGCCCATCATTACCTCAGACCACCCATGGCTACAGCAGACTTGCCAATAGTCACTCTCTTATCTCCACTTAGAAGGGTGGCTCCTGGATATTATTTCTCTTCTCCAAATTTTTCTGCTCACAGTCTGTTAGCTGAGGTCAGTGCCTTAGCATGGCAGCAACAAGATGTGTACTAGGCAGAGGCAGCCCTGCATTGCCTCTTGCCAAGAAGCTGAGCCCCAAACAGGGTTTAGTGTGGGTGGCTTGATCCAGTCCAGTGGGTACACCTTGAATTACATCTGCTAAATTACTGGCCTTCTGAGTCAATTCTTGCATTTCCTAATTAGCTGGCTATTAACATTTGCATTTTCAGCACCATGACACTCGTACTGCTGAGCTAGTCCCCCTTAGTGTGTCTTTCTCTGCCAGTTTAGAAATCATTATGCTCTTTCTCACCTGTGAACAGAGAAGGGGTTAATTAGTCCTTGTGGCTACTCCTTGCATTGCTAGCAGGACTGCACTTCTGCAGCTGCATCACTGCTGTTCTCCTCTGCCCTCACAGGCAAATACTGGACTCCTCCTTCACAGAAGGAAGAGTAGCAAGAGTATCAAGAGCACTGCCTGACACAGTGAACTAGGCTAATGGGCCCAGAGATCCCCTGCTGTATTAGGAGCAAATTGCATTCAAGATACATCAGTCAGTCCAGTTCAGGAGGATTTGCTTTTTTGCCCTCTGTGTGTGGCCTCCTTACTCCTGATGTTGCTTCTCCTCTGCAGTGAACTGTGTGACAGCTGTGGCTGTTCTTGGCTATCAGGAGAGCTCTTCTGAATGATGTTCTCTTCATCTACTATCTCTGCGCTCCAGGCAGGAAGCCTCTTATTTTTCTTAGGGCAAACCACCTTCCTTCCCTGGTGCTGGGAGTGGGTGGTCACCTGACCTAACTGTTGGCCAGGTGCAGATGTTCTGGGCCCTATAAAATACTGAAAGTATCTCAAAGTCTCTCTGGTGCAAGATCAGGTTGATGTATTTGAATGATGAGCCTATGTAGTAATCAGACATTGCTTCTGGAGGCACTGTGAGGTTCTCTGCATTGTAGTGACTTTAGCAAGGTCCCTCTTCTCTCATCAACCTTCTCCCCATTCTTCTCCACGGGTCGCTTCCCTGTCTTGCTGCAGCCTATACCAGCAGTCCCGTGGGCAGTGCTGGTAGGAGATGCTGCACTCTGGACAGATACTCTCAAAGCTCGGAAAGTAGAAAGGCAGCCAAAGCCCAGCCTTCCTGGTTTTTTGGCTGAGCAGCTGCCATGTTTGCAACATCTCCCACACCGTTTTAGCAGGGAAGGCGCCAATGACGGGTGTAGTCAGTGTGTTCCCATCTGCCTGCTGTAGCACAGTTTGTGCTTATCTAGGATATGGGTGTGTGCTGTTGGCTTCCTGAGAGATCCAAAACTCTCAGTATGGTTGGGCTAGGTCTAGGGGATGGAAAGGTTATGTTCCTCATGTCACAGAGCCATTGTCCAAACGCCTTGTAACAGTTTTTCTACAGAAAAGACATCAGCTGTTCACCATTTTGCACCTGACATTAGATGTATAAAGGCACTGTAATGGAGAGAACTTGGTTTTGTTAAAACGGGGATGTTCAAGCAACATTAAAAAATATAAGAGAGCAAAGATGTGTATATTGTGCCAGTTCTACTTCTCTAGTCACTTCAGTAGCTGTATCTGGTTGGACTGTTTAATTTCAGTGAACTGATGGCAGAATAGAAGAAGCTAGGAATATATAAGCAAGGGAAAGTAAAGTTTAAGAGAGATTTACCTCTGAACTCCTATAGGATGAGCTTGACATGCCATGCTGTGTTTTTCAGTTTTGGGGGTTTTTTTGTTCAAGTAAAATGAAGGATTGTCTCACCTGAATTTGTCAATTTACCCTTCAGTGAGTGACTGATGTGCACCCAGCAGGACTTGCTTTGTAGCAGCCATGTGGATGCAGGAAAAAAAGGAAGAATAGTGTAATACCTTATCCCTTTAAATTGCTAGCTATGCTGCTCATTATGCTCTAGCTTGTTCTCCACAACAACCAAGCTCTTGAGTACTGACCTGTTCAAAAAGGCATTGCCAAAGGCGTTGAGTTTCCTGAATGGTTTTTTGGGATCCACCACCAACGCGTTTCCAGGAACAATTCCTTCCACATCTCCTTGCATAACTGCTATAAAGGAGTCAGTTGTAGGCTCTGGTCCAATCCTCATCCCTGGGAAATCCTGCTCCAGCAGGTACCTGTAGGGAAAAAAAACCCAAGGTGTAGGCATGAGACATGAGCTAAGTCCTGAATGAGTTGTACTGAAGATTACAGTGTAATTATGAAGCTCAGGAGTATGGATCCTTCTGAGACTATTTTTAGCACTGCCACTGAATCATTTGATAAATGTCATGGTAGCTTCTCTACTCAGGATCTCCACATTTAAAGCTTTCTTATTACAGGTGGATTAAGAAATTGAGATGATTATAGCTGCTGGGAAGAGATTCTTATCGTGTTTGATCATTTTGTGTATTTTAATCCTCAAGACGTTTGAAACAGACTTAACACAACAAAGTAAAAACAGCAGTTCACTGCAATCACAGAGTTAATCCTGAAACCTTATTGGCCTTTGTTGCCAATATCAATTACCTCACTGCTGCTCATTTCAGCAGACTCATCCAACTAATGTGCTTAGCCTCTAGTCCAAATCAGTTGCTCAAATGCCAACTTCTCCTGTACTTGGCTGCTGAAGTCCCAAGTCTCCCTGCATGTGTGCTTCTGCAATGCAGCTACAGGTCTGCACTGTAAATTGCTTAAGCACTAAGCATGTGGGTGGCAGAGTAGATCCCAATGCTTATTATTAAACTAAATAGCACAGCAACCCTTATTCTCTAAGACTCAGGCAGCCTCTCCAAAGGTACAGTTTGGCAACAGAGAGCTAGCCACCCATGCGGCTACAAGACTTTTGAGTGGGACCCTGGCATTTGACTTAATCCTGCCAAACTCAGGGTGGATCAATGGTGTGCCCAGGACAGTTCCTCTTGGTTTATGGAGGAGCCAGATGCCATCACTGAGGTCAGGTCTGTGTGTGTGGGTGCAGAAAATATTCCACCCGCTGGCCCTGTTCTGAAAATTAAGGCCATTGTGTCCACATGGCTTGCAAAAGAACTGGTCTAGCCCTCAGCATATGATGGTGTCAGACCATCTGATCTGGTGATAAGCTGTGGATTGTTACACAAGGAATATAATGACTGCTGGGTTACGGAAGTTAATATAATACTGTGTTGCTTGTTGCCAGCAGATACCTGGCACTTCCTCATCCATTGCTTTGACTTAATCTTTTGCTAGTAGAAAGATAAATGTAGAATTGTTGTGATGTTACAAGTGGATACAGGGCATGGGGAAAAAGAAAATGGGAGAAGGCCTGAGGATTTTTCATAATTGAGAAATGTATGTTTAATAACCAGCATTGGTTCAATCACGTGAGCCTTATCAGAGAGGGTAAGTGCCTTCATGAAAGACTACAGGACCATTGGCATGAAGGCTTGTGATAACTTTTTGGGGGTTCCTACTTTTGCTATTGTTGTAACAGAGGTAATCACCATGTAGTGTTTGAGGAACAACAAAAACCTAAAAAAAGCTATTTATTGACACCATGGCAGCAAACGCATCTTCATTTCCCAATGACAAAGCTCAAATCAACTGGATCTAGAGCTAAAAAAAGCAGACGTACATCCAGGACATACTGCAAGTCACTGCTATTTATCTGGCTTAGTACACATTAATGAAGGGTATGGCTGCAGCAAGACTAACTCCAGCAGTCATATCCATAATTGCCTTACGAGCTCACCACCTTCTTTACTGGTATTTTATGATGTATTTTCTTATATCTTTCATCCAAAGTTCTGTGCTCACCTGAATGCCATCAGAGCTTCTCTTAATAGGAGCAACTCTTGAGACGAAACAGCAGCTATTTAGCAGTTCTCAGAAAAAGAAAAAAGATTGAAATAATCCAGGAAGGCAACAGCCCTCTTATGTCCTATACTAGGGTGCATACATCCTATCCACCCAAAACCTATGCAGAGATTCCTCAAGATTTCCAAGAAGTTACCACTTAACAAAAGCGGACCGCAGCTAATGCTGGTGCATGCCGCCTTGCTAGCTGGTGATCACAGTGTACCTTCCTGGCAGCTACAGTAACTTTTCTCTATCTCAAAGCAGCTGAGAACAAGGAGAAGCTAGTCTTCTTCCACCAAGGGCTCAGTAGACTATCACATGAATGTTCTTGGCTCTGTGCCCTGGAAAGCTCTTTACAGTGAAAAAACCATTTGCTAGGTTAGAAGCCACTCAGCCAGATTCTGGTAACTAAGCTCAGGCCTTCTGGATGGCAATTCAAAAATGTTAGCCCCTGATGGACGTTGCTGCAACGCTAGTCACTGCTATTGGCTTTCCTCTGCTCCTGCTTTGTACTTCGCTTTTGGTCTGACATAGTGTATTTAAGACTAATATACAGATGGCTGTTCACTGAATCCATAGGAATAAATCTTTTCAGTTTTCCCCTTGCAAATACAGGAGAGAAAAGAGACAGGTAGTCATAACAATTGTCAAATGCAACAAGTGCAGTGCTTTTGGGAAACGTGCCTTACTCCCAGTGCAAGGTCACAGCCTCGCCATAACAATAACCTGCTTGTTTTTTACAGGTTTAAGATGCACATGTAATCGGATAGCTTTTTGAGCAACAGGACAAAAAAAAGCCCAGGGGGTTTGTTTGTCATTTATAGACAAGGCTTCCAAGAAAGTCTAAGCAAAACTCCTGCATGTAATAGCAACAATACTCCTCCAGCCCGGCTGCTCAAAAGAATTTTATCACAGCTCCACTCAGTTGATCTTTCAAAGCATTTCTGTGTTTATATCCTGAATAAGACTTAAAAAAAAAAAACCACCATCAAAAAATCCCAACAAAAGCACACTCACACAGAAGTAGCTGCAAGCCAATGTTAATTGACTTAATGTGCAACAAGTGGTATGAAATCAGAGATGAATATTTGCACTGCCCAGTATTGTAGCATCTATTTTAAGTAGGGCTTCTCTGGGAGATTCGGGTACATTGTGCAGCAGGGTGTTTGCAGCACAAAAATCTCATTGTACACAGGACAAATACAAGGGCACTTATTGACACTGATGGCAAGGGAAGGCACTTCTGCAAGGCAGTGACACAGGCTGCCTCTGATAACAGAAGCCAGCTAGAGAACACATGCAGTTGTCACATTTGTGGGGATTTCTGGGCGAGAAGAGCAAACAATAGCTGTGGAAAACACCAACCGACAGTGAGCAGCTTCCCCTGCCAGCACAGGATGCCTTGCTCTGAGCTGCTTGAATACCTTCAAGGCCCTGGGGGAGTGATCTCCAGCCAGGCTGGGGAAGCCTGCAGAGAGTGCAAGGCAAAAGGTAAATGCTGTTGGTGGGGATTTTTTTAATTTTTTTTTTATGACCAATCTGCTTTATGGAGAAGCATCTGAAGTTAGTATGTGCTGTTTGCCTCATTTCACGCCTGTCCCTGCTCCTGGTGAGGGCCAAGGGCAGCAATGCTTCATTAGTGCTAGCTT